AGGGCTGGGGGACGTGGGGCAGGAAGCCACTGTCCCAGCCAGTAGGAGCACCAAAGGCAGGTGCTGGTGACCCAGCGTCCCTCTGTCTGTTCTGCCATTTCCTTATGCCACCCCGCGGGCGTGCAGCCCTGCTCCCTGCTGCCGCGCTCTCTGGCCATCCCTGTCCCCCTCCCAAGCCACGCGGGAGGAGCTGCCCGAGTGTCACCCCTCCAGCTGAACTGGGGGCTGGCGGGGGTCAGGCTCCACCGCGGCTCGTCAGGTGGGAAGCACAAGGCGGGTGGTGGGCGTCAGCTGGCCTGCCCCTGCACCTCCTGGGGCCGAGCTGCTTGGCATGGTCATGTGGGAAGGCCACAGCCGCAGGTGCCCTTAGGTCCCAACTGGTGTTTGTCCCACTGGAAAAAATCTCAAAAAATGGTGCATTCCAGTCGGGGCCTGGGCTGGGGCGCAGCTTGGTGACCAGCACCTGCCCCGCGCTCCAGGCCCGGGGCGCCCTCCTTGCTGGGGAGCAGCAGGGAACCCCTCTCCCCTGGACCTCTGTGGGACAGGCGGGAGGGACTGAGAGTCCACACGTGGGGGGTGCCTGGCAGGCTGCAGCCCGGGTGGACGCCTGCCTCCTATTCCTCCCTGCTGCCCCCACCTGGCCCCACCTCCCTCACAGCCCTGCCAGCCCAGGGCCACACCCCTGCTGGCCACTGTGGGGGCAGTTGGTGCCCACTTCTTCCCTGGGGGTCGACGAGCACCCGCCCCCTCCCCCATGTTGCCAGTTACCTGGAGGAATGAAAAGGCGCTCCAGACCCAGGGGGCCCGGGGACACGGTGTGCCTGGGGGTCTGCGGGACAGAGATGGACTGTGATGGACAGCTGGGGCTGAGCTGCTGCAGGCCCGCGGCCCTACTTCAGGGGACAAGTTCCGCCGTGCTCGGTCACTGAGCACCCACTGTGTGCCAGGCCCAGGACACCCGGTGGACGAGGCCCTCTCCTAGTGTGGGCACCACGACCCTCTTGGTGGCAGCTCAGGGCTCCCTAGGTGGGTGGTGGGGGCAGGCGAGGCGTCCCTCGGGCTCTGGTGGGCTGTGCCCTCTGCCCTGCTGGAAGTCTGCCCAGTGTGGGAGCGGTGGCTGTCCCTGGCGAGCGTCTCCAAGGGTGGTCCCTGTCCCCTTACCCACCATGTGGCCCTGTCCGTGCAGACAGAGAAGGATATCCTGCTGCGGCCCGAGCTGGAGGAGCTGAGGAATGAACATTCCGCCCGCTTCAAGCTCTGG